AATTTAACTATGTAAAAGACTATTTCGGGAAAATTGAAATCTACAGTCAAGATTTGCTCCTCCATTTGTTCTGACCTGGTCATTTTAGATATGGTAGATTCCCTTGTGACTAAAGAAAAGGTCAGATATAGAATGATTTCACCTCTGCTCTAATAGTATCTCCAAAGTAAGAGGTTCGGGGAATTAACCTCTTATATGCTGGTACTCAAACAATGGAGTCAGCAAACTTGTTCTGTTAAGGACCAGAATGTAAATATTTTAGGATTCATGGGCCATATAATTGTGGTATGAAAAACAGCAATAGACAATATGTAAAGTGATAAGCATAGCTATGTTCCAACAATACTTTTGAACACCCAAATTTGAATTTCACATTATTTTCACACATTATGAAACATTATTTTTCTTTTGATTTTTTTTTCAACCATTAAAAAATGTAAAGAATATTCTTAACTCCCAGTTGGTCAGATTTGGCCCATAGACTAGTCTGTTGATTCGAGCTCTACAAGTGATGATACCACAGAATCTAAAGGTAAACTTTTGTTCAGCCTAGTATCTTTGAGATCAGGAAAACTGTTAGCTAATTATTGTGTATTGAGCCATTACTGGCTGCCATGTGAAATGCATTCTTATACCTGGGTAAGTCATACAGTATTATGATTAGTAACTCGTCTAGTGTGACCTAGAACTCGATGGGCAAAATATGACCAAGCTGCTTTAAAAAACAAAAGCTAGTCAGCAAAAAAGGACTTAAATGATTTTGAACATATGGCTCCTATGAATAGGTACACCTCAGACTTGGTCTGTTTCCTACGCCAACTAATGCAAAAGATGTGAAGTATATTTCTGAAAATGATGATTTGTCTTATGTTCAATTTTTGCCCTATTTTGCCAGAAAATTCAACAGTGCAAATTGGCATTGAATATTTATTTTAAAATACAACCATGGATGCCTACTAATACCAAAAAATCAGAATCACTTACCTATTTTAGAAACAAAGGCCCAAGTCATTTGGAATCATTCAGCAATCATAATTTTCAAGTCCATGTGAGGAGACATGAAAGAAAAGGAAACAAAATAATTCATTAAGATATGTTCTTTAGAAAAGTGACTTTTCACATTCATATTACTAATTCCATTGCTAATAAACCACCAGTGTTTGGAAAACCAACTGGAGGCATTATTTTATTATTCTCGTTACCATTCATGACAAAGAAATGATTTTAGAAAAATCTGATAAAAACCTGTGCAGCACTTGTATTATAGCTAATACGAATTGAGCAATCTTACCACTTATGATAGCAAAGAACATAGGACAGTTTTGAAAATTACTTGAATGAAATCTTTATCTGAATATCAGCAGGCAAAGGGCCAGGGTGGAAATTATACAATGAGAAGGAAATTGAACAATTCACATATGTTTATGGAAAGCTTGCGACTTGGGGCATCTCATTTGCCATCAAATAAAGCTGTTATTCATGATGTGCATCAACAATAAAAAGTAGCTATGTGGTATAAAAATTTTGCCAGCAGGGCAAATTCAGGCAAATAAGCAGTTTTCAAATAAATGCATTGAAGTGGAAAGGGGAAAAAAGCCCTATAAAATGTTTGCATGTTTTTTGCTAGCCACTCCAACTCTTTTTTTAAAAATATATATTATGATGCCTAAAGCCACTAATTCATGAGAAGGTCATCATTCCCTTCTCTAAAGATATATGCTTTAGTTCTATGAAAAGGCCATGATAATAATGGCATTTTGCAAATCTGAAAATGATACAGATTTTAAAAGCCTACCCAAAAATTGAGAAAACCAAAAAACAACTTTTCTTCCATTAAATGGATTATTTTAAGGCTATACTGACGAAGATCATTTCTTGCATTTTTAGGGACACTGATGTTGTCCACAGATGCAAGTTTCATCAAAATTTCCTATTCAGCACATCAACCGTATTTCAAATATTTTTGAGAAAGCTGAAATTCAAGTCTTAAAACATGTTCCTACATGAAGAAGATGGTGAAAAATATTTCGAACTTTCAAGCTCACCACACTTTTCTTTATTACCTGACCAGTTTGGCATCTTCTTTGGTCAATTATCTGTACATTCAAATTCTATTTACTCATTTAATTACAGTCAACATTTGCCAGGCTAACTGCAGATAACTTCTAACTGTAATCCTCAAAGTGGTTATTTCAACCATATGGAATATATATATGTGTATATATGGAATTCCATATGGAATATAGATGTGTGTGTGTATATATATGAGATTTAAAAAGTGTTGTTTTTTTATCATTTGCCAAAAAATAAAGAAAAGCTTTCTTAATGTCCTCATCGCCTCCAAAATAAGGTAAATATATTAGAAATATATTAGAAATAAACTAAAAAGAAAATAATTTAAATAAAATGTTCCTTGTCTGAAAGCAGCTGTTTGTTATTCTTTCTATCAGAATACTCCTCTAATATGGAAAATTAAGCAACTATTTTGAGACGTTATCAGGGATTCACCTCTAGAGCTGTTTCTATTAGATCTGCAATTAAAAAACAAATCAACTCTATCAGTTCACTGGCTTTACTATTCTAGCCTCAACCATGAGTAAAATATAAACTCAAACAATTATTTCAATAATTTACTCAATAGAAAAAGCAATAGCTAGGAAAAATGGCATTGTTTTGCTAGTAGCAAATACCTAATCCTAGTAATTTTCTTGACCTATAACTAAATATATTAGTATTTTTAAAAACATTGAATATTTGTGATGGCAGATGCTAACAATTTGAAACATATTTGAAAAATATATTCACATCAATATTTTCATTAAATAACTGCACTCTGGTTCCTTAAAGACCTATGTCTGCCCTTAAAAAAACTTTTCATTTTAAAAGTTTAATAAGTTATTTAAAAATAATTGCCACAACATTGTCTCATTGCTCTGCATCGACCACACTAGTGAGTTTGGCTTTCCGCATTTTATCTTTAAGGTCATTTGTCAGATAAACATGAGCTTCATCTTCACAACACTCAACTGCTCCTCTTTTGACCACTCTCAGGTAAGGTCATGGTGATCCTGTCTGAGATCTCATGAACAATCTCAGAGCAACCACATGTTGAAATTCTGACCAGAACAAGGGGGGAGCAGATGTTAGCTATAAAACAAAGTGCACTTGATTTAAAAGCATCACAAACAATGAGAAATAGAAAAGACCCAATGTGGAAATGCTGAAGTAAAATACTATCTCCAAACCAAATTTTTTTTTTCTTAATCCTGGACCAAAATAAAATATGAGCTGTAACTTGTATTGCATATTAAAAATAGATCTGTGGTACCCCTTCTCCGATGTCTGTTTTCTAAAACTTTGCTTTCTAATTGGAAAGAAAGAACCACATTTTCTTTGTTTTACCCAAGCATATTATTACTCATGGTAGCTGTTTATTGTAAATACGAAAGTTCCATGGAATGTTTCAAGGATGCTGAAATTAAACATCAACCAATACTTGCAGATTTATTATTTACTATAACAAATTTGGTTATGCTGGTTTGTGGAGCCAAGCTGGAATTTTTTCTGCTAAGGAAGCAGAAACATGACTAATAAAATCATTTTACTGATTATCCATACATTTAAAAGACCTTACCATTTCATACTGGAAGGTAATTCAAAACCTTTTGACCCTAATTTTTGCAATGTATTCCTAAAAGAAATGAATTTAATACTAAGATTAGGGGATGTTTATGTAATCCCAGAATCAATTAGCTTCGTAGTGTTCTCATTTAATGTTCTATTTGGCCTAAAAGCAATAGCTTATTTTTGGGCAAGATATGCAATTTGTGAGTTAACTATTAGGTTCAAAAAAAATAAAGTAACAATACAAGAAACATACTTTTATATCAAAATAAATGTTTTGCTGTTATAGTAGTTTTTGAAAAATATTGTGAACTCAACTTAAGTTCAGGTAACATATTCAACATGAAATGACTTTTGAGGGATCAAACACAAATTTTTAAACTTGAACAGACTTTAAGAAAATAAACTCTCCATTTTCTTTTTCTGGTCATAACCATGAACAGAATTGGCTGCTTTATTCCAAGTTTAATGTTTTGGGGGCTAATCTTGAGGAAGAGATGCCATTTTCCTTAGGGCAAAGGTTTTCTTTCCAAAAAAGAGATTACTTTCTGATAAGTGGCTGCTTTATGAATGGAAAAGGCAAAATGCTAATCTTAAAAGAACCAAAAGACATTTGAAGGCTTCCAAAGGTATCTTTGTGACAGTGCCTCTTTAGAAATATGAGTTGACTTTCTACAGCTAGAAATGGCTGATGTTCATTCAAAAAGTGAACAATTAATTTCTTCCTAACATAAAACCAACCCTTTACATTATCTGTCCCATAAAAATTGCAATGAAACCTCAGCTCTTGTAGATGGTTTTTCCTTCTTTCCCTTAGTCTAGAACTTGTATTTATTTCCAAGTATTTGTTGAATACAGACATTATTTTATCCTAGAGACATACCGCATTTAGCAAAACAAAAGTGGAACTTGTCTATTCCTTTTTTCCTATTTTACACATGTTTTGTTTTTGGCCTTGGGAAAGGCATCATCAATTCATTCAGAATCACAAAATAGAAACTATCCATTATTCACAAGTTTTTGTTTGTTTGTTTGTTTGCAAACAATAAAATTTCACAGTCTGCCTGTTTGGTGCCAGGCCTTGGTGTGATACACCAGGCTTAGGGAGGGGAACCAGAGATCTTTCCTGTCTTTGCCATACGAGGTTGTAGGGGAAATGCCCACTATCTGCTTTTATCAGCTACTTTCTTATGGAAGGCCTCATTAGTTCCCTCATAACGTATTACTAAAAGTTCTAATTATTCAACATGCTAATCATCTTTCCCAATCCTAGTCCATCCACCACACCACTATTGAAAGCATCATCCTTCATTTATAAGCAAAAGAAAAAAAAGAGGAAGACGAGAAAGAGATGGGTTAAAAGGAAGACGACGAGGAGCAGGAGGAGGAGGAGAAAAAAGGAAGATGAACAGAAAAAAGAAATAAGGAAGTTCCAAAGGGAAGGAGAGGGAGATACAAAGAAGACTAGGAGACAAACAGGTCCGTCTTGACTTTGTGTTGCTTGTTGGATAAATGTTACAATCTTTTGCCGAACCTGAAGAGGTCCTTTTCACTCTACCATCTGTCTAACTATTCAGTCTCATACCTTCCATAATGCGATACTCTGTACACCATGCACCTGAAAGCCTGGCTCTTTGCTCGCCTACAAAGTCCAAAGGGACCCTTTGAAAACTGCATTTGTGCAAGTGGAACTCTTTGTTTATCTCCTTTTTCTTCACCAGGCATATTTCTGCCCATTGATTATCCTATCTCCAAAGCCATCACTAAGAGGCCATTCTTGACTTTCTCAGACAGAGTTCCTGGAAACACTCAGCTTTATAGCCCATTCTACTCTTAGAAGGCTGCTCACAAAGCTTCTCTTTTGGCTTACAGTACCTTGCATATACCTCGATTATCACAATTTCAACATTTAATTTCTGAGTTTTTTCTCCCCATCAAACCATTGAGGCATCATTAACTGACTCAGCAGTGAACAATGTTGCATTGCTTATCTTTGGTGGATATCTCTCTCTTCTAACGTAGTGTCAGCTCTTTACAATAAAAGTTGCCTTATCTAACATACAGTTAGACTCAGTTGCCAATCAATCACTATAAATTATTTTCTATGTTTCCTCCTTTTTCTTGATGGCTACTATGAATCAGAGAATAACCGAACACTTCATATGCTTCCTGTTTAATGATGACTCAGTAGTGATATGCTTCCTGTTTAATGATGACTCAGCAGTGATATGCCTCCTGTTTAATGACTCAGCAGTGATATGCTTCCTGTTTAATGATGACTCAGCAGTGATATGCTTCCTGTTTAATGATGACTCAGCAGTGATATGCCTCCTGTTTAATGATGACTCAGCAGAGATATGCCTCCTGTTTAATGACTCAGCAGAGATATGCCTGTTTAATGACTCAGCAGTGACATGCCTCCTGTTTAATAATGACTCAGCAGTGATATGCCTCCTGTTTAATGACGACTCAGCAGTGATATGCTTCCTGTTTAATGATGACTCAGCAGTGATATGCTTCCTGTTTAATGACGACACAGCAGTGATATGCTTCCTGTTTAATGATGACTCAGTAGTGATATGCTTCCTGTTTAATGATGACTCAGTAGTGATATGCTTCCTGTTTAATGACTCAGTAGTGATATGCTTCCTGTTTAATGATGACTCAGTAGTGATATGCTTCCTGTTTAATGATGACTCAGTAGTGATATGCTTCCTGTTTAATGATGACTCAGTAGTGATATGCCTCCTGTTTAATGATGACTCAGCAGAGATATGCCTCCTGTTTAATGACTCAGCAGAGATATGCTTCCTGTTTAATGATGACTCAGCAGTGATATGCTTCCTGTTTAATGACGACTCAGCAGTGATGTGCTTCCTGTTTAATGACGACTCAGCAGTGATGTGCTTCCTGTTTAATGACGACTCAGCAGTGATGTGCTTCCTGTTTAATGACTCAGCAGTGATATGCCTCCTGTTTAATGATGACTCAGCAGAGATATGCCTCCTGTTTAATGATGACTCAGCAGTGATATGCTTCCTGTTTAATAATGACTCAGCAGTGATATGCTTCCTGTTTAATGACGACTCAGTAGTGATATGCTTCCTGTTT